ATTATAGTAAGCTGTGGATTGAAATTCAAAAACCAATTGCATTACAACTTTTTTAGATGGTTAGCATGCAATGTGAACAACACAAAAATACGTATTGTACAGGAAATATGTTGACAAATCAAGAAATTACAAAATTACATTCCCAGTATACAAATTTATAGTATTGAACCATTCCTTATACAAACAGTGTGTCAACAAAATGCTGAAAAAGCCATCAATGACAAATCATTGAAATATTTACCAACAACTTCACACATCATTAATTGATATCAATTGCACTTCCACAATGATGACAAAGGAAATTACCTGATTACAACACAAAGCTTTTTTGAACTTTCTTTAAAATATAAGAATGTTTAACAGCAAAGACAATAAAACATTCTTAGCAAAATTAGTCATATTATTTTGAATGATGTTATATCTCCACTTTTTTATAACTCATCTATTATCATGCATTGACAATAATTTTGACCAGCTGCAAGTGTATGTTTCTATCACAGATTATTACACAGTGCTAAAGGTTTATAAAGCAAGAACCAAAGTTTTCAGCACTTTCAGATGCATTATGGTGGATCACTTTTACTAACTAACAGATAAGCCAATCTGCTCTTATTACTTTCACGAGTAAAAAAAAACTGTTATTTACATAAAATATTATAAAATAGAGTTACTGTAGGTTTATGTAATAACAAAGCAAAACTTGGGGAAACCATGCATAACAGTCAAGTGTCATGTCATGTGATAGTCATACTGTGCATGTAGAACACCCTATCTTCTGTATAGTTATTTACTAGAGATAGAATACTTCCAAAAATCTGAAAATAAATAGGACTGAGTATAAGTATAGCACATGTGCTCCAACTGTGGAATTGTGGTACTCAAGTATACTGATATCCAACATAAAAGCCAAAAGTTTCCATCAAATGCAGGTTCAAGACTGTTAAGCAAACAATAAGTTGAACATGGACAGAAGAAAACAAGAACACAAGTACAGTTTTAAACATTGAATTTTTACTAACAAATGGTGTTATGTTACCAAAACTGTTCAGGCTTTTTGTTTTGCATTGTCAGGATGTCGGAGACAAAAAACGGAAGAATAGCCAAAACCAAGAGCAATCTTAAGCCAAGCTAGGTGTACAGATTTCTGTAATGCCTCTTTGAATCAGCTACCTTTCAAGAAATCCATATAGAAACACATACACACTAGCTTGAGACTTCAGAACAAAAGTTGCAGTATGTATCTTTTACCTGTGTAAAAGGATTAGCACATATTTATGACCTTGAGACATCTGGTCAATAAAAATTCCATAATTACATGCAGAAACTACTTGGAAATTGAGAAAAATGTTACATGAATATACATGAATAAAGAATTATTCTATACTAGTTATAATTGTTTCAGTCATTAGAATGTTTAAAAAAGTTGGGATACATCAATTAAAGATTAGAACTTGGGTTGTTCTTCAATATAATTATCTGGAAACAAAATCAATGTCAACAGATGGAGAAAAAAATTAAGCAATCTGCAAGAGACAGAAACATATAAACATTTCACAGATGTTGATGTACAACAAGTCAGTATTTTGGCAGGATTTCAGCATCAGAAAAAAACCTAAAAATTATCTGATGAATAAAAAGCAATTAATACTAGTACAGTCAACAAGTATTGGTCAAGTTTGATGTTATGATTTATAATAAAATGATTTACTGTTACTTATTATTCAAAATTTATACGTAAAACTAAATACCCCAGAATGAAGTAAAATTAATTAAGTTAATAAACTTGTTGCATTACATTTCTAGGACTTCTAAATTTTTAAAAGGACTAGTAGATGTTTGTCCCAGTATACAGTGGGACTAGAGGCTTCAAAAGATCTCAAGAAATACCCATTAAATAGGCCAACAAAAAATAATGTTAATCTTTCCTCAATTTAATTTCTTTATTTGTCACTGCAATTGGGTCAGGCAAACTTTTCAGACCTATTGTACTGCAGCAATTTTGGCATATTTCCAATCCTGGAATTTTATAAAGGGCATTTATTAAAATTTTGTAGTATCTACAGACATAAACATTATGTACTTGAGTTCAAATAAACTTGTAATCATATAGACATTTTTGTTTTGCTACAAAAAATTAAAGCAACTGATGAAATTATTAAATTTTACTTTAAAATTTTACCATTAAAAATTGAGGTATTTATTTCACGTCCTCTTTATGATTTAATATCTATTAGTAGGAAAGGAAATAAAGATGACAAAATTAAAATAAAGCATTTTCATTTCATGCAGTAAGTCCATATGAAATCATAAGTTGACTTTTTCTGATCATCAGTTTTTTTAACTATTTATCATTAATTGTAATTATTATTACAGAATTTTTAGCAGCTCTTCTTGTAGAAGTTATTACATAATTCTTTTAAATATATGAAATATTTTGAAGCTTTATAAAGGACACTAAATTCAAAAATACAAAAGATGTAACAGTTATTACATAAACTATTTTATAAATCAAGTAATGTGGAAAGACACTTAAATATCAATTCAAGTTGGTGGCCCATAGATACATCATTTTCCTGTGCTACAACCACAGGACCCAAGACTGACGGACATCACAGTATGAAAAATGTAAAGTAATACAGTATTATTACTCATTGGGAATACTTTTCAGTAAATGCACTTAATGAACATGAGATTCAGTACACTATAAAACAAGCAAACACTTAGACTTAACACTGATTGTAAATGTACAACTGTACATCAAACACTTAGACTTAACACTGATTGTAAATGTAGAACGGTACATCAAACACTTAGACTTAACACTGATTGTAAATGTACAACGGTACATCAAACACTTAGACTTAACACTGATTGTAAATGTACAACTGTACATCAAACACTTAGACTTAACACTGATTGTAAATGTACAACTGTACATCAAACACTTAGACTTAACACTGATTGTGAATGTACAACTGTACATATACCTTCCTATAACCCTTCGACTGTGATCTACTTATATTGTAAGTAGGTATGCGGCTTTCGTGCAAGTTCTTTATAAAAATTAAACTAGTTGATGAAATAGTTTAAATTTGACTTGAACAGTCCTAAGATTATATAATTTTAGAAAAATAAAATAATTAATTTTGATTTTTCTACTATTTATAATAAAACAGTCATTCTTAAAACCCCCACAATTTTTAAAAACCAACAATAATTTTATACACAATTGTATAAAAATTAAATTGTCTCCAGTCTCCAAATTACTAAAATACAATACTTACTGTGCAGAATAAAAAATGGTAAAAAAACCCAATGAAACTGGAAAACAATCTCATATACTCAAAAAACTTTAAAAAAAACATTCATTAGTTAATCTGAATAGTTCACAGTGATTTCTATTTTGTGTATAAAATTCTGGTTCTTATCTCACAGTTTTCACATTTCATTTGCATAATCTCTAGAACCTTCTAAACAAATATCAAAAGTTTTTTAAGGTAAATGTTTATATTTTGAATTTAGATCAAAAAGCTCAATTTGTGTCTCATCCACCACAAAACTTTCTGCTACATGTTTGCAGTATCATTTACATTTCTTTTTCAATAATGGCTTCTTTCTTGCTACTCGCATATACAGGCTAACTTTGTGTAGGGATCTGGATATTGTCGATGTAAGAACACAGACTCCCATCTCAAACATGTAACTGTACAAATCTTTCAAAGTCACTGTTGATATCCATAACTAGTTTCCTGCTTGCCCAATTGCTTAGTTTTGAAGAGTGGCCTGATCTGGGTAGTAACTTGGTGGTATGAAGTACATCCCACTTCTTAATGATGGACTTCACCATACTCAAAGGGATAATCAGTGACTGAAATTTTCTTCTAACCTTTTCCTGATCTGTGCTTCTCTACCACTTTATCCCTGACATGTTTAGAAATATCCTTGGTCTTCGTGGTTGGTTTGTTGTATTACTATGCGAGTTATAGCTTGAACAGATGCACGTACTCTGAAATCAAGTTATACCACTTTGATTACACACAGACAGAGCCCATTACACTAATTTTGTCACCTTTCAAACTAATCTTCTGCACCTGAACTGATTTAGGATTGTTGTAGCAAAGGGGTTCAATACTTATGCAATTGAGAATATTCTAATTTTGTTTGAAAATCTAACTTACATAACATCAGTTTTTTTTTCAGCTTTCTAAGTTTGGAGTAGATTGTATAGATTCTAAATATAAAGTCCCCTTTGAAAGTTTCATGATTGCAAGCTCAGATGGCAACAAAATGTAGACATTTTGCAGGAGGGTGAACACTTTTGCAAGGCACTGAGAGTTGTAAAAAATTAATTTCCAGTTCTTGTAAATAAAGTTTAAACCTTTTAATAGATCAAAGCAGCATAAATGAAAGTGTGTATAACAAATATTTCAAGCACTTTGATATTGTCTTACATCGATTCTGTACTTGGCACATTTAATACACACCCAGACTTGGTTCACATCTCTATTCCTGAATTAAACAAAGAACTGTTTATGTACAATTTGTCTTGGTGCACTGCAATCACATTATAAGACCAGGTTAAACATACCAGTAATTATTGGGCCTTAGTAGATGAAGATCAGGAACACATTAAAATCTTCTTACATAAACTACAACTGACTGACATGAAATGTAAATAAATAAACTCTTTGAACAGAGGAAGTACATTTCTCATTTAATTCTTAGATTCATGGATTTGTAAATGACACAATTTAATAATCTGAACACATTTAATAACAGGTACTTGTTTTTAACCCTGAAAGACTAACTTGAGAGAAAAATAAAATAATACCCCAGCAAGACTTGAACTTCTTTCTAACTTCTTTACGAAGTTGTTCCCTGTTTTCAGTGGTCTAAGCAGGAAGTGACTGAGTTGCTGACTTGCCTGAATGTTAGAAAAACAAATGTAAATTGACAAGAAAATATAAGTACATTATAGGCATGAAGTTATAGAAGAGAACATAATTTTCATAGCTTATATAATTAAGTGGACTGTAAAGCATGCCTGAAGTTCATAAAATAGTGTATAATACATGCCATGTGGTATAGCATAACCTATGTTCAGTATGTCAGGAAGTTTGAGCAAAAAGTATAAATATAAAACACATTTCAATTCTCCAGAAGTAGCTTACTTATGGATGATTTTAAAATTTCCATTATCAGTGAGACCTTTAGAAAACTGATTTCATCATGATTTAGCTCAGTTATTTGTTACAATGTGCTCAAAATATATTTTATTTTGGTTAACAAATTAACAAATGTAGAAATTTTAAGTTGAAATTAAGTTTTTTTCATTTTTAATACTGATAAAACATAGGAGCTTGGAGTTCATCTTCCAACACTACCACTTATATCCATTTATCACAACCTTTTATTTTATCTCAGGAAGTGTTGGGCTAACTGCATTTATTACATCACACAACATAATTGAAATTGTATACAAATAAAAAATATATAAAACTTGAAAATTTTCATTAGTATTACTGAACTGATATGCAAACTTTCTCAAAAGTATAGGAATATGTGAGAAAGAAATACAGGAAAATATAAGAATACTGGTTACAATGTCATTAGTGAAAGATATTTTATGATGTTTACCTATGTATCATTAGAACTAGTGGGTCCAGTTGTTGCTGGTCATTAAGAACAAAGCTACACAAAGGACTATCTGTGCTCTGCCCCCCACAGGTATCGAAACCCGATTTCTAGCAGTACAAGTCTGCAGACATAATCTTGTGTAGCCAGAGATCAAGGGGCTCACTTTACGTGACAAGAGATTATGGAAAGTGACATCAGAGACAACTTTGGCTATTTTTTATGCTGAACCCATTAATGAGTAATATAACCTTATACAACTATTTGCCCCTGCAGCAGCACCATCTGAAAAAAATATCCCCAGACCCTTTGTTACAAAAAGTTTATCTTCTTGCATTTAGAATGTTTAATATCAAATATCATAGCATTCAGTTCAATGACTTATAAGAATTATCTTTGAGATTTTTCCTTATACACCATAAGTGCAATGTAGGTGCCCATTATGGTGGGCCATATAATGACCCATAGCCTTTATTGAAACAAAGACATTTCCTTGTCTTCAAAATACTTCATGCTAAATATCATGGTGATGAATGAGATAACTTTTTTAAAGTTGTTCCCCATTCACTATATAAAAATACTACCTTCAATTATCCTTTCAAATTCATTCCTCTTGGATGATATCCATGAAATGCCACCTGGAGAACCAAACATGCTAGTGCAAACTTCTCCATTTGGATCTAGCACAATTCCAGCCACAGAAAAGCCAATTAATGAAAGCACATCACACAAATAACAAAAAGTATGTTATGAGGAAAAGCACCAATTTTAGTTCCTTTAGACAAAACTACTTTATTATAGAACTAATGAATAATGAAAACAGGATAAGTAGATTTAGAAAGAAATACAAGATTTGTGAAATATCCTATGAACATATATATACTTAGATGAATGAGAAGCATTATAAATTAGATCCTGATGTTTTGAATTGTTTTATAACAAATTAGAATTCAGAGGAATATCAAAAATAATTTTGCACTGTAGAGACATCAAAATCAGGTGAAGTGTGCTTATCATACATTTCAATGCTTAAAACTTACAGCATTACTTATAACTTTCAGCTGTTGGTTAGCAACACAGCTGTGAGGTTGTCCTTTTGTTGGATCTTGGCACAACTCTGCTGCCTCCTTCTGGTACTTCTCCCTTTCCTGAGGAGAAAGTTTCTTCTATAGCTGGGAAGCATTTTGCAGGAATGTTGATTTCTCTGTTGTACCTAAAATTAAATACCCAAAATACCAGGAAAATTATACTTTCAATTTATTGTATTTAGTAAAACATTAATTTTTATGACACATTAAATCTATGCATGCTTCATGAATCTCTACAATTTCAACATAGTGTGTTCAGAACTTATACTTTTGTATTAAAAGAAATAAAACAAAACTGGAAATGTCATAAAAAATTCAACTGAATTTGAATATTTTTTACAATACATTTATGAATCTTCACAATGTCAACAGTCTTCAGAATTTATAGTTTTGCATTATATGAGAAGCAGAACAGTACTAAAAATGTTGCAAAAAACTCCAACTGGATTTGAAAAATATTCATATAGTAACAGCCTTCAAATTTAAACAATGTAATGATACAGTAATAAATGGTAATTAAAGAATAATTCTATGTCACACTCAAAATTAATGGCTGATAATAACCAAATGACAGAACACCAGTTATTCTTGGCAGTTAGTGGGTGCCTATATTCAAATAGACACTGACTTCTCACAAATAATACCTTTTCCACCAACTCAAAGGTATTTAATGTATGTACATTTGAAAAGAAATTTGCTAGATAAGAAAAATTAGCAGTGAAATGAAATCAGCTACGTAAAGTACAACAATAGATAGAAAATTTTAAAAACATTAAATTATTTGGCTAGTCATGTGTACTTTATGTAGTAAATGTTCATGACAAAGGTGAAAGTGACAAACTTCTCTCCATTTTTCTGATAAAATATGAATTTGCATTTGGTCCATTGACCAAAGGTCTCTTCTTTTTCTGAGCATTGTGGTATTCTTTGTCTTTTCTTTAGCTCTTCAGTTTCTAATCCAGACCTAAATAAATAAATATATACTTAAACTAGACTACATATCTGAGAAACATAAATGCCTCATTGTAAATAACTAAAATTAAGTTATACTGCTGATAATGCTTAATTTAGACCAACAAAATGTCTTGAGTAGCCATTAATTCATAAGCTATCAAATGCAAAGCACATGAGCAATAACAATATGGTGGAAAAACTGCAAACAGTCCATCTTGACATGTCATCATATTTGGTGTGTCACTGCATCATGGTTTAGCACAAATTTACATCCAAGACATGCCATTTTGGAATCCTAAATTTAGTCCAAACACTAGATTAAACTGTTGAAGAAATGGGGAAAAAGATATACAGTACTAATGCCACTTCAAGTGTATGGCACAACATTGCTGAGCTCCACTATCTTTTGTGCACATGAAGTGTGAAGTGCACTATAGCTATGATGGATCACCCTCTAATCTGCTAGTATGCTTTAAATTTAGTTTTTGTAAAACCTGTCTTGTATATCAAAATGGAATTTGAAAGTAGAAACTGCTGTACTACAATAAAATGCAATCAAAGATCAGGAAATTATAAACAAATTCAGAAAGATCACTTCTCATTGACCTTTAGAGGCTAGAACCCCCTCCTCATCGAAAAAAAACAAAACATTAGCTTGTAGTTTTTCAAAATACTAGGATTCATAGATGTATATGGTTATAGTATTTTAATTGTTTATCACTTTATGTCATAAGGTTAAACATCTGACCCCTTTGACTTGTAAGAGCCCCAAAATGCACAATTTAATATTATTGATAACTGTGTCTACAGTTTTGGGATTGTAGCTGTCACAAATTTTGACTCTTGACTATGAAATTCACCTGTAGAAAGTGAACCCTCCATAAAATAGTGGTAATATTCTTGTACCTTGGAGAATATATAATAGAAATAAGGAATAAATTTGTACTTCACTGATTCCTTGATTAACAATTCTTCTACATGTTAGGCTAATAGGCACAGCTCTATATTATTATTATTTATCAACTAACCAGGTTTCAAAAATGTAGGTAGTTTTCCAGACTTGGGTATCACAAAAAATTTTGACCTTTGGACCTCTGATGATGTCCTTTGATCTTAAGAGGGTACATGACCCTAGAAGGAAAAATTCAGGTTACAATTTATTAACTAATGAAGTTTTGTGAATGTATATGTAGTAGTTTGCAATTCTAAATTACAGTTGTTATAAGTGTTGAAAAAACAAAACAGGCAATTATTATAGAGCACAAACCTACATGGAAAAGAATGAAAATGCCATTGTACCAGAAAAGGCTGATATACAGGTGTGAAAAGGTTAGTAGTGGCCTGTGGATTTTATTGAAAATTCTAAGAAACTAAAACTTGTATCAAAACAGGTTATTTACTTTTAGAGTAATTATCAAATTTTTAATGGATTAAAAATACCAATTGAGAGATTTCTCTAAATATATTAAGTTTATATGTTCAAATTTAAAGTAGAAATAAAATTAATTAAAAATTATCCTTGCCAAGCCATAATAGCTCTTTGAAGAGGTCACACCACCATTTCTCTATAGTACTGGTAACTATTGTCATTGGAACGTTGTGACAATAAAGTTTTTAATGCATTTTAAAACACTGATTATAGTTGTAGTATTAACAAACTTTTACATCTTTGATACAAGAAAACAAATGTAAAAACTAAAATGAAATCTGATATAATGTCTTAACCTTCTCATTCTGAATATTCAATGCAATGGAAACTTCCTCTATCTTTTTCTGACACTTCTTGCCAGAAGTCATACCCTCATTTCAGGCTGCCTCCAACACTTCCACAATTTCTGGCATGAAGTCTTCTCTCGTCCTTTTCTGTAAAACCTAATACAACACTTCTACAATATAACACCATGGTACCCAAATTTAGCCAGTATCCAGACTAAGCTACTTTACATAAAAATACCCCAATGAGAAAAACTAGGCATAAAAGGAAATTATTAAATGTTACAGTGGTGGGCTTAGGGGTAATGGGGGGGGGTCCTCCATAGCATTGCCTTTTAGTTTTTATTACACTAACTTTAAAAAAAAACAAAAACTCTTATCTCTGTAGCACCCCAAACAGTCTGTTAGTACTGAGTTACTATTTTTTTAGTTTTTGAATCATCTGGTACAGTGGTACTGGTAGTATTTCCCTAACATTAGCACTAGTAGCAGTAGAACTCAATAGCAGTTTGACAACGTTTGTTTTATTTCAATATCTTTAATCACCTTTCTGACCACTTAGATTTAGAAATGCCCCAATGTAAATTTTTTGTTTCATTATATTAAGACCTTTTTATTTTTAGTTTTATCCCCTGTGTATGAACTCCGATATGTGTTTATGCACATGAATTTCACATTTTTCATAAAGATGAAATACGTTTATACTTAGAGTCAATGATATGGTTTTTCGAAGGTGTCCTCAGCCACAGATATAAGACGTATTTGAATACCTGTACAGCTGTAGCTACCTCAATAACAATAACCACACAAATTATACTTGTTTTGTTTGCTTGTTAAGTGTTACGTGGCATAATCCTAGAACTACACAATATTTGAAATTTGGCTTACTTAATTTGTAGAGTGAAAATTAGACTGTAGCAATAACAAATTAACATAGCTACTGTTGCGTCATCGAGATCACGTGACTATTCTCACGCCCTCTACTTTCTAGAACTATCCTGTACTTTGGCGAATGCTCTAGCATTTACTAGATATAGTGTAGCTGGTATATAAAAGAGGGTGACAACGTGACGGTAATGTGTGTGTGTAGATAGTGAGTAATTGAACTGCAATCAGAAGAATTGTTGACGTTCGTTGATATAGCGTTTGTTATAGAGCGATTGTTGAAAATAAGTGTATTGTAAAGTTGTATTCGGAAAGAATAAACCAGTTTTATTAAGTAAGGACTTGTGTCGCTAAAGTTTCGTCGGAACGAAGTTACGGAAAGTTAATTAACAAACGGAGACGTAACACTACCAATACCATGTAATGAAATACTGAACTGTTTGGTATAAGTAATATTATGAAACAGTGTGTAACAACTAACTCAAAATTTGACTCATATAGTAATAATATTACATATGAAATACAACTACAAGGTCAATCACTACGAAGAATTTTAAAAATAAGGGACTGTAACTATTAGGCCTAGAATTCAGTAAGCTCAGGTAAGTCGAGAAAACAGTGATGACTGGGACCTCCTATAAAAAGAAAT